AACCCTTTATAAAAAAAGATGTATTCTTTTGTGGTCAACGTACACACTTTTATAAATTCATCGTTTCATAAATGAGTTGTTCACTTTTTGTATATTGAACTGATTAGATTTTATCACTTTTTCCTGAAATAAGTTTCAGGGCCAAACAGATAAAAAGTCAACAGTAAATATCAACTAAAACAACATGTCATCTTGTTCTTGTAAAAGCAAACCGAGGCAACCCATCCCAAAAGTCTTACCTAGAACTGAGAATCTGTGTCATCATTCGTGGGTTCTGTCCCGTTTGATCTGCTGTAAGGTAGATATAGATCGAATAATTTGAAAAAATCGATTGGCAGGTGCGGATTATGAGTATTTTATGCGGGGCGTATGCGGGTTAGTGGACTTTGATACATGGATACCCACCAACTCGCAAAATTTTTTTTTTTAAATTGTGTTTTGTTAGAAAAGAGTATTTTTTGGAAAAATAAAAATTATTTTATTTTAAATTACAGTAACTTTGAAAAATAATAATTAAAAATTTTAAAAATATATATTTTTATTATAAATATATTATTTTTAAATAAAAATTAAATTAAATTATTATATTTTAAACAAAAATATAATCCGCGGGTCCTGCAAGTTACCCGCAAAATTAAACAGAGCGGATATAGGTGTTAATTTATACGTTCGCGGTTTGTACGGGTCAAATTTTTTGACAAAAAAAAACCCGCGAGTTGACAGATCAGCGGGACGGGTTTGACCCACAACCCAGCCCTAGCCTTACCACATACATCAATAGTTATCATGTTCATAAAAATCCAATAGTCTTCTCTTTACTAATCTTTGACTTTTTTCAACAAAAACAGAACTATATTCCTAAGCCCACATTATCATCTATATTTCTCCTCATATCCCAACCATTTAGTTTTATATTGTTGAATCGTACTTTTGACTCGTAATACTGTATAGAACTGGGTGTTTTGCCCGCAATTGCGGGCATAATTTTCTTATGAATATTTATTCGTTGATGTTTGATTAATATATTACTTATGTTTTCGAAAAGAAAAAATCAAACATCAAATAATTATAAATGACAAAACTCAAACATCAGAAATATTTTAAATAATATAGTTCTATAATCAATTTCCTTGATGTATATTTAATTATAATATTTATCCAAATATTTTTACTTAATTTATATTTAATTATAATTTTTAAATCTTAATTTTAAAATTTATAATAGAAAACATATTTTCAGATGAAAATACAATGCATAAGTTATTTATTTTCTAAAAATATAATATGCAAAATTCGTTTTAATTATATAATAATTATATAAGATTATAGAAATGATGACATATGATTACAATTACTTAAATCATGGAGAACTTAACAAATCAACAAATTCAATTCTTAAATAACTTTGCTTTGAGTGATGATTTATATTTAATTAATGATAGATAATTTTTCAATTTACTTTTAAATTATATAATATAAAAATATATTTTCTAAAAATATAATATTATTAGTGTAAATTTATTTGAAGTATAGAATAATTACAACTTTTTAAACTGTAATTTTAAATTTCTAATAGAAAAATCGATTTTCAAGACAACAACATAATACATAAGAAGTGTCTTATTTTCTAAAAATCTGATACTATTAATATAAATTTGTTTTAAATATATAATAAATCATATATAAAATTATATAAATTATGATAATTATCAAATTTACCTAAAATCATGGAAAATATGACAAACCATCAAACATTAAATTCACTTCTTAAATAATAGAAAAGACTTCTTACATGTTAATTTCAAATTCTATAGTAAAAAATATATTTTCAAGATAACAACATAATATATAAGAATTAACTTATTTTCTAAAATATCATCTTCTTAATATAAATTAGTTTTAATTATATAATCAATAACAAAAAAAAATTAAAGAAATTATGATAAGTGATCAAAATTACCTAGGATCATGGAGAAGTTGACAAATCAACAAATTCACTTTTCAAATATTTTTTTTGATGATTTAAATTTAATTATTAATAATATAATTTTTATATCTTAATTTTAAATTTTGTAATAGGAAATTATAATTTCAACATAACAACATAATACATAAGAATTATATTATTTTAGAAAAATATAAAATTATTAATACAAATTTGTTTTAGTTATATAATAAATATAATAATTTTTATATCTTAATTTAAACTTTAAGTTTTATATATAAAAATTTAGTTCAAGATAACAACATAAATCACAAAAATTATCTTATTTTTTAAAAATATAATATCATATAAATTCGTTTTATTTTAAATAAATTATATATAAATATTAAAAAGATGATAAATAAACAAAAGTACCTAAATTTATGGAGAACATGACAACTAAGCAAATTTACTTCTTAAATAATAGTATAGATATAAAAGATAAATAGTATTTTAGAGAGAGGGTTATTATTTGTATGCTTGATTTTCTGTCATTACCATACACCACAAAATACCTCTTAAACTTCTAATAAAACTTGACCTGAATCTATTTAGCACCTCTGGTATAGAAAGAACATTTGGATATATTCTAAATATTATGTTTATCTACTTTATTATTTATTTAGATATTTATCTTAGTTATTTGAAATTATCTTAAGGCTTTTTAATAGTTTATATGATATTTGGTTATCATACAAATAAGTTTCTTATCTGAGTGATTATTAATAAATAAAATTTTCCTTAAAAAATTATATAAACCACTAAGAAGAGTATTTTCAACTTTAAAAAGTTTGATTAAGCACTAAAAAAGTATTCTCAAAATTAGTTTCTGAGTATTTTAGAATCAACAAATATATTCCTAGAAGCTTCCGCTATATTAACCTCTTAAAATTTTGATTTTTTTTTCAAACTTCATTTTGAAACTACTATTGCTTCATTTTATTCTAGTACTATTTATTTAAATTAGGGTTCTCCGGTTTTCTGAAATTTATAGATTTAACATTATTTTTGAATTTATTATTATTTATTTAACATATTCGTATTTTGTTAGTATAAAATATTTTTTTATTTTATATAATTTAAAATCATTTTGAAAACTATTAAAATTATCTAATTTAGATGATAAAATTTTAATATTAAAATTATCAAAATTTAGTCAAGCTAGTTTTATAAAAATATCCGATACTAATGTGTATGAAGAAAAATGAAACGAGGATGGTTAAAAAGGACAAGAAGCACACATGAACAAAACCATGTATGAGAGACAAGATGATAACTTTGCATGTTGAGATGGAAGGTTTACTCTTGGCAGTCTCATGTATAAGAGGATAACTTTGATATATTTTGAAACGGACTGGTCGGACTAGGACTGGGCAAAAAAAACCGAACCCGAAAATCCGAACCGAACCCGACCCGATAAAAAGTAATCCGAACCGATCCGAACCCGACATAAGTACCGAATGGATCTTGTTTTACAGTATTTTGGGTTATGGGTATTACCCGAACCGAACCCGAACTTAAATGGATATCCGAAAGAACCCGAAACTTTAAAATTCCAAAAAAAGATTAATATATTATTGAGTATCATATCCAACCTAAATTTCTAATATGTTTCTAAAACATATTAATATATTATTGAGTACCTACAATAATTAGTTATGATATAAATAATTAACTCAGATATTTAGTCTAATATATAGTGTTATTTGGTTAATATTAATGTTTATGATTGACATTACATTTGAAGTTAAGTTACGAATAAATTTGTTTTGAAGTTTAAATAATGTTGTTTTTTAAAGTTTAAATAGTACTTATTACATTTATATAATTGTTAGTTGTTGACTTTAATTTTTTATGTTTCATTATGTATTATATTTCATTCATACAAGGCTTTGGTTTGTCATTAATCATGATATGTTTAGTGTTGTCACATATAGTTCAATGACAAATATTATATGGTTGATAGATGAGTTTCACAATATTATTTTAAAGGAGAACAATATGGTTTGTAGAAGCTAAATACACAAATTTAATAAAACGATTGAAAATATAGTGAGTTTAATTGAGTATAAATTAGTATTTTTAGAACCGATAACCCGATTAGTATCCGAAACCGAAACTATTTCGGGTTCAACCGGATCTTGGACATGTTACTAAACCCGAACCGAACCCGAAAAAATCCGAACCGAATCCGACCCGAATTTTTATAATATCCGAATGGGGCTGAAATTCATGAACCCGAAAACCCGAAACCCGAATGAACCCGAACCGAAACCCGATTGGGACCCCGATTGCCCAGCCCTAGGTCGGACCTAGTGAACATGACTACAAATCCAGTGGATTAGCCGGCGTTTACGAAAGAAATAGAGGTGTTCTATAGATTACATGAAGATTTTGAGGATGTGAGCATATCTCATATTTCTCGGAGTATGAGTGGTCGAGCGGACGCGCTACCAAAAAAAGCAAGGACTAGAGGCTATATATTTTTCCATATAGACCAGACCAGGTCAGATAGAGATGCTCCACAAAAAATCGATTCGTCTGTCCACCAGCTCATCTAGCTTAGATGGACGACTAACAAAAAAAAAAGGAACAAAACCATATTATTGATGGGTAGCCCCCCCCCTCTTCCTCTCCCCACTTAGCCCATCTCTCTATCAATCTTTTATTACATGAGCTCTTTCTTTCTCTCTCCTCCTTTTGAAGAGATGGTATTGTTTGTAATTATACTTTGCTTTTATCTTTTTTAGAATTGAAGAGCTTCGTGCTCCATAAACAGTAGAGAGATAAAGGTACAATTAAGAGAGATTAGATAGAACCGTGCTAATCAGTGAAGTTAGGTGCAAATACCCCCACTTTCTACTTTTGCATAATTAGGTCAATCTCATCCACCACCATACTCTCTCTCCTCCCACTCTCCCTTCTTTTCTCCATTGCCAAGACTAGGGTTTCATTTCTCTCTGTGCCTCCCATTTCTTGTGTACCTAAAGATTCGAATCTCATCTCAAACAAGAAGATGAATCAAGAAGAAGAAAAGCCTGTGGAAGGAGCTTCTTCAATGGAGAGAGAACACATGTTCGACAAAGTAGTAACACCAAGTGACGTAGGGAAACTAAACCGACTCGTGATCCCAAAGCAGCACGCGGAAAGATACTTCCCTTTAGATCATAATTCCTCAACACATGACAACAACAACAACAACAACAAAGGTTTGCTTCTAAACTTCGAAGACAGAACAGGAAACTCATGGAGATTCCGTTACTCTTACTGGAACAGTAGTCAAAGTTATGTCATGACAAAAGGTTGGAGCCGCTTCGTTAAAGACAAGAAGCTTGATGCTGGAGACATCGTTTCTTTTCAGAGAGATCCCGGTAATAAAGACAAGCTTTTCATAGATTGGAGGAGACGACCAAAGATTCTAGATCATCATCAAGCTATGTTCCCTAGGTTCTACTCTTTCTCTCATCCTCAGAACCTTTATCATCGATATCAACCAGATCTTGGAATTGGGTATTATGTGAGGTCAATGGAGATACATGATCCAACGGCTATAATTGAATCTGTGCCGGTGATAATGCAAAGGAGAGCAGCACACGTGGCTACTATGGCTTCATCAAGAGGAGAGAAGAGGTTAAGGCTGTTTGGAGTTGATATGGAGTGTGGTGGAGGAGGAGGAAGTGTGAATAGCACGGAGGAAGAGTCGTCGTCTTCCGGTGGTAGTATGTCACGTGGCGGCGTTTCTATGGCTGGTGTTGGTTCTCTCCTCCAGTTGAGGTTAGTGAGCAGTGATGATGAGTCTTTAGTAGCTGCAAGTGTCGATGAGGATCATCACTCGTTTACAAAGAAAGGAAAGTCTTCTTTGTCTTTCGATTTGGATAGATGATGATTATTGATTAATTATGAGATTAATCACTACTATATAATACACATTATATGTGATAGTTATACATATTATATATATGCGACACAAGGATGTTCAAGATTTAATGATAATATCAATAAATAATATGTTCTTAAGATTCAGATTTTAGTTATAACAGAAGTCTTTTGTTTTGATTCTAATTTGTTCTTCAAAATGGTTCGAAGCTTTTTCTCAATAAGTCTCCTATTAGCTTGGGTGGGTAGTCAGAGTATAAAGAACATAAACTCTGGATAGCTAGGGATCAGTGTTAAACTTAAGAACCCATGTTCGTCTGGTCAGAAACTAATCAGAAGATATGGGAGGTGTTACAAAAGTGATATATATGTAGATATATTTATAGTATGTAAAGGCAATATTGTATATACCGATATTAAATGGTTACTGATTTGTTTACTTAGTTTAGTTTATTTTGATGGCTGCTGTCATGTTACCGCTGCATTTCTGAAGCCGTTGTTGCTGCCTAATTAGTCAAGCAGATTTTGCAGCTTGCAGGAAATGGGCAGAGACAAAAACAGATAATATAAAAATTGCATTTAAAAAAATAAACTTTACTAGATCTTATAATACTAAATAAATAAATAAAAACTATCGTCTTTCAGCTTGATATGGCTGAAAAGGAGTGATCTGTTTCACATATATTGCTGATGCATTAACTGGTACAGAAGTAAAATGGACTTTTACTTACTTCACAACCTGGTTTCTTTGTCTGGATGACTGGATCATTGCATAGCTCACACTGTCACACATACATACATTTATATATATGTATAGATGTATAGAAAAGCTACACGCAAGGAGTGTATGTATATATATGTATGTGTATAGATGTATAGAAAAGCTACACGCAAGGAGTGTTAACTTTAGGTCTTGTTCGGTGTTTTTGTGTGTTGTTAACTCCGATCCTTTAATTGCATTCCATTGGTGTAATACTGCTTACTGTATATGTACATGTGTATACTTGTTCTTGATTATCGTGATTCCTGCATATATATATATAGTCACAGACTCACAGGCATTAATTAGTAGTCTTTTTTGGCATTAATTAGTACTAGTCTATATATACCATAATAAGTAGAATCTAGGGCTTATATAGCTGGCTCGTTCTGAGACTAGTTTAGAATATATTTTGATGTGTATAGAGATTTCTGGAGCCTCGGTGTATTGTACAATAGAACTAAAAAGATTTCTTTTTTTTTGGACAACAACTAATCAAACAAGATTTAACTCAAGCTTTTCTTGAATGATACTACAGATTAAAAAATAGAGCCTTTTGGGAGGACTGAAATAAATTTTAGGCATGTCAACTGTATTTGTCTGTTATAGGGTTTTTGGTTTAGCATACAACGAAGTAAGCCTATTTACTAGCATGAGCCATGAGGGCATGCAGAGATGATGATGAAACAGTTATCATTAAAATATGCAGGTATTTCTATATGTAAATAATAACAACAACAAAAACTAGAGGCGTTATTTCATCAAATATATGTAAATGATTATTATCTAGCACAAAATGGGAATTGATGTATATATATACGTGTGTGTGTACGTTTTGCTACTTTTGTGAGGAATCTAATCTTGACTATGAGATAGAAAAATTTACAGATTTTAACATTTATTGTTTGTTAAACTAAGCAAAACCAGGACCATCTCAGCTAAAGTTAATAGCCTATCCATACGATAGCTGTAAAAAAGCCATCGAAATCAGCGAGGGCTATTTACTGTAGATCACATAATGTAATCATATAGAATCTATATGCATGTGAGAGCAGATGAGATGTTAGACTAAAAATATCTTCAAAACCCAATTGCTACTTCTTTCTCCATAATAGTATGTAAAGTTGAAATTGTTCTATCTCACCACACTCTTTCCTCTATAATAAATATTGCTATTTTTCTTCTATTTTTAGAGGATAAAATAATATTCCTTTATTTTTATTTTATATTTAGAAATTATTATTAGAGTATCTCCAATCCATCGTTTATTCTTTCTCTATAATAATATTTAGATGTGAAATTACTGTATCCTACCTCCATTTCTTCATCTATAATATAAATTTATATTTTTTCTTCTATTTATAGAAAAAAATATCATTCATCTATTTTTACTCTATATTTGAAGATTGTTATTATAGATGAATACATTGAAGCATATTTGACCTATATTATATATCAATCCCTCTATTTTAGAGGTAAAAACAAAAAAAAAATACATTAGAGATGATTTAAAAGATGAATACATTAGATCATATTTTATCTCTATTATAGAACTCTTTCGTTTTAAAGATAAAAATAACAAAATTCATTGAAGTTTGTCTAAACAATTAGTGTTGAAAACTGCACCAAGCTAAAAACTAAGCTTTGAACGGATCCTTACATAAAGAAAATTAGGATTTTATTTATTAAAAAAAACATCAGCAAAATAATACACCAAATTTTTTATTAATGTAATAAATCAAATGAAAGAAGAGTTTAAACTTAGTATATAATTTTACTTATCTATATATGTCTAAGTATATATAATTCTTTTATTTGTAATATTTATAAAATATATATTTATATTTAAGTTTTAATATTATTTTATTATATCATTAAAACTTCTGATGTTTATATTTACCTAATTGACAATTTTAGAATCTTTTTAAAGAAAAAAATGAAAAAATAAACATTTTGTTCATATGAATTATTTGCTAAAATAATGGTAATTTTGTGTGGAACTGGTGGAATGCACATTTCTACATATAAAATGACAATTCAGTCGCACTGTCGCAGGGGGGTCCTTGCCTCGTTATGTCTTTACATTTTTTTGTATACGGCACTCGACTGGCTCTTCCTTTCTTTTTAATGGGCCGGTCCGGGCCTAAAAGGATCCAATATTCATGTTTTATCACAAAACATCACGCAGTGCTAAAGCGAAAAATTCAAACGCAGAGCAATGTCGATGTGAGAACTCCGCTGTGTATTATTCTCTCCGACGAACTTCTAGTGCGGCGGGAAATCGAGTTTCAAATCCGCAGGAATCCGTCGCAAATCGTGTCGATTTGCGAGCCTAGAAGGCTCTTGTTCCTCACTTGAATCGGAGAAAAATGGATTCGGATTCCGTTATGGTGCGATTTGATCATCACATATTCGAGTTATTTCGAAGTGTTCATCAATGATCATGTACTATACTGAGTTTATGCAGCTTGTAATCAAAGTGCTTTCTTCTTATTATTAGACTGTGTTTTTGTTATTTATTTATTTGTTATTACTCTTATATCATTTTATCTGAAGGAGATAATACTCCTCTATCATGAATCTATGGATTTTTTTTTTAAATGTGTATTGTTCCATGAGATGTATCTGGTCTTTAGCCTGAATCCAACATCTTTGTGCTTTGCAGGGTGATTGTTATAGTGTCCTTTTCAGAAGCAGCACCTCCCATTATCTTTCTCAACTTTAGACTCTGATATTCTTCCCTTGCTATGGACTACATACAGAGAAACTCCAAAGTGAACTTGAAGTGATGGACCAACGTTGTAAAATGTAACACTTTCTGATTCTTCATCATTGTTTTGGAATTTTAGCTTTATTGTTAGATACATAGATTGAATTCAAGAGTATTTGTCTCAGAAGCAATAAAAAAACTGGAGCTAGGGTTATGAAAGACATCAATATCAATCCAGATGAAATTCATGACTACTTCATTCACAGAAGGAAGTCTAAAAGGGTCACCGTGAGTGTTTTTTTTTTTTTTTTTTTTTGCATTTGAACATACATACAAAATTAGTCCAGGAACTTGTATGTTTATGTCGACTTTTTGTTGGTGTGGCAGAGTCAGCTCCATATTCAGATAGTGATGATGAAGATACCGAAGAGCTTGAAAGAGAACGCTCCCTGGTCGTCAGACCAAAGAGTTCAGATGCTACAGACTCACTGACTGATATGTTCTCAGAACTTAAACTTGGCAATACAAAATAAACAGTGGAGGAGCAAGCTACTGAATCAGTTCGGATGAAAAGAAAAATATTCTAGAGGCAGCATAGTTGCACAATGCCTCTATCTTCATAATTGTGGTGCGATCTCTCTTCTACTTGTTGTACAATCAGTATCATATAAATAGTAATGAACTTGGTAAAGCTGAGTTCCATAGTATTTGTAAAGCTATTTTTTATTGTTGGTATTCAAAAAGCAAAAGCTTCACACTATTGTATAAACTCAGGAGCTTGTTTTTGTAAACAGAGCTTTAGATGATCTCGATCATTCCGCTGGTGGTAGCTAATAGACAAATGTATCCATCATGTCTATCAGACGGAAACTAGTACTCTAGATTATTATTCTTCTCTATGTTACATTAACTAGAAAAGCTGGCACTAAAAATAGAAACTTGAACAGATCCTTTCCTTGTAAGTTGTTCTGATGTTGTAGTGCTCTTTTGGATCTGTGTTGTTCACCTTGGGATGGCTCCAGTCTTCTCACTCTTTACTAGGACAATAACTAGTCCGCAAATCAGAAGGTAACTACCACCACTGTCTGTTTCATCTGCTCACAGTATATTATACTTTTTTACCAGAGAAAATTCCTCCATCTGTTCTTGCATTATCTAGATTTGACAACTTTTTTATTTGGTTAGGGAAAGCAGCACATGACGGCGGTACAGATTGGGAGAAATAGTTTCCGTTTGGATTAAAAAATGCAGAGTTTTGCATTGTCAGTAGTCCAGGATGGTTAAGAAATCTTAGCATATCAGCAGAGTTACCAGCTCCTAGAACAGGCGCAGGCATAAACTGTGGTACCCCCATTTGCATACATGTTGGTAGACCCATCTGAGAGTATTGTGGCCCCAAAGGCAACATCATTGCTGGTGTAACAAATCTGTTACCCATCGTCATCATCTGCCATCCAAGATTTATACAGGTTAGAACAAGAATCTTGAGATTTGATTTGTTTTTTGATATGGAAAAAATTTGAAGTATATATGTTTGTTATACCTGAACTTGAAGTTGAAGTTGAAGGGTCGTCATATAATTGATTGCTTCATCTAACGTTGATTCATTGTCGTCCTATAAACAGTTGAGTATTTAAGGTAATGCAAGTAATGGTAAAATCTACAGAATCTTCTCTTTTGAAACAGATTAAAGAGTTACCTTGTTAGAGTTAGGTAGTAGATTCTGCAAAATACGCATTTTCTTGTTGATATCGTTTCTTTGCTTCTGTTATGCATCAGAGTTCAAATGAATCAGATTCAGGTTTTATTTAGTTGCTATATAGTTTCATGAGATTACTTACTTTTTCAGGTGAGTTATAGAGCTCGCTACTTCGTCTTCTCTTAACCAAAGCTTTTCTTGTTCTTGCAGGGACTCGTGGCCTTGGATCATCTAGACTCTGCTGAGACAAAAACCATCTTTAGACAAGAACTTAACAGATAAAACCAAACCAAGAATCAATCCTCTCACACTGCTTAGATACGTTGATCCTCCACTGTCTTCAGTAAAATCTGTGGAGTCAAAGCCCAACTCAACCGACCTTTCAGCAACCACAGATTGCTCATCAGGAGGTATAAACTCGATCTCCTTACGGTTCTCATAATCAACCACCATCGTCTTTGATGAAGTAGCTTTCAAAGTCTGAATCAAATTAAGTTGATTCATCAGCATGTTTGTTTTCATATGTAACAACAACAACAAGATGATGTTCTGTAACAACCTGTGTGTCTACAAGCTTCTCATCACCACCATGAATACTCTTCTTGAAATCCTCGTTATACTCGGCCTCGTACAAATCCACGATCAACTTGGTACGTTGATTCTGCAGAGAAAAGGCGTTGGATCTTTGGCTCTTTGCAAGAAACTGTCCATTCTCAAACACAAGCTCCATATACTCTTGGTCTGTTAACCTGCAAGAACAATAAATCAGCTTGGTAAGAACAAACATCATCTACATCAGCTTGTGTGTGTATATGTTAATGTGAATTCAAGAACTTAATTTGGTCTGAAGGTAGATGATGATGATGATGATGATGGAGAAGTCATCTTTGTCTTGTTGAATGATCCCAAAAGGCTTTGTCTTCGTTTAGAAGATTTAGTGAAAGCTATCTTTCTTTTGTTGATCAACCTCACTGCCTCCTTTTAGCTCTTTTTATATTTCATTTTGTTTATTTATTTTATTCCTATTATTTATGTCAAATTGTCAACTAGTTTTCTATCTCAGGTGCAATTAATCTCTCAGTACAGTACTGTTCAGTGGTACTATGTCGAATCTCAGCATCTTTTATTTTTTTTCATATCTTTTAGTTCTACACATTGCAAAAGTATTATTCAAATGATCAACAAAATCACCTAGGAGTTAAAAAAACCTTGTATATACATTAGTCAGTATGTCAGATAGCCAAAACATACATAAATATCTTTTGTAAAACATCAGTGAAAAGAACAAAAATATATTTCATCAGTTTTCGTTATCTTCCATAAAATCGATAAAACATTGATTATGTCGACAAAATGCAATGTTAACTGTTTACGACAAAAATAAAAGGGAGGAACGGGCCAAAAAGCCCACGTGGGTAGTACAAGGACAATGGAGAATGGGCTGGGCCCGCCATAATATTTTAATGGGACCCACGTTGAGTTTTGGCAGCATTCTCCTCAAATGAGAAAAAGTGAAAGAGGAGTAAAAAAGGAAGGGCGTGAAGTTCACGTGAAAGCCACGTGCTTGGTAGCCCCATTTGTGTCCTTTTGTCCCCTTTTGCTACTGTATTTAGACATTTGTCCTCCATTACAATGACTCACTCTCTTGCATTTTTTTAATTTTCATTTCAGTTTCGATATTTCCAAATTACTTTTGCCATGCTTTTTGTACGATATCACATCTTGGTAGTGACATGAACTTTATTTCTGTTCAGTGAACTTGTATGGAACCATAGATTTTCATACAGAAAAATGTTAAACCCAATAAATCACATGGTAATCTATCTTTTTTGGGTAAAATGGTAGTCTATATATTTGTTGATGTAGTGAGTTCAAACTTCAAAGTAGAACTACCGAAATAAACAAGATAAAAATTTTCTCTATTCCAATTCATTAGAACAAAAAAGTCTTACACTATTTTTTGTCTATTACAAGAATTTTTTAGGAATAGACAATTCCTAAACTAAAACTCATCCTATAGCTTAGACTTTGTTTATCAGGATCACCCATATCTCGAGTTAAACTCCTCTTGAATTTAGATTTTAATTTTCCAACACTCTAAAACTATGTTAACAACTACGTCAACAATTACGTCAGCAACTAACGCAGAACAACAACATCAAAAGCTTGATCATACAAACACAAAAAAATTCTCGGTTTTTTTTTCTAGAGACATCTTTCTTCATAGGGATACGTCCTCCTTGTATAGATATCAGAATTTACTCTTCGAGTTCTTCCAAAAACAATTTAAGAAACTTTCTTTTTTCTCTAAGGAATAATTCTTTTACTTTTTTTTCAAGTAATATATTTATATTTAATGTAAATATCCTAATACATATATTTCTTTTTCTCTAAACTTGACAAGTCCAATGACATCACAAACCAGAAACTTCAATATAGCTCATCTTCATGATATACACATATACTATTTCCTGTAATACTTCACGAATTAACACATGATCTACATTTTCAATATTCACTAACTAAACCATTTTAGTCAGATTTATTTCATTAGCCCGGCAATATAAAATACTGGTGAGCAATTAACAAATATTACCAAATTAATCAAAATATTTGAGTGCTATGTGTGTTAAAAAAAAAAAAAATTGAGTGCTATATGTAGCTTCTAAAGACAAGATTTCATATATTTGTTTTCACAATTATGCATTTTAGTACTCAAAGACTTTTTTTTTGTCTCAAAGACTATTCTTGATTAGTGAATAAATGAAAAATAAACATCAACCTATTTCAAAAGAATTATACATGAACTCTTCTGTCTCCACAAGTTACGTTTGTTTTTTTGTTTTTTTTGAGAAAGAGCTATTCACAAGTTACGTTTGTTCTCATCAAAGTTTCCTTTTCTAGTTCTGACGGGTATTTTCTTTGATAGCCTCGCGTTGAAGCTAACTATATTAATTACCACAGTCCCTTTCAACTAAATTAGTTGAACAATAAGAAAATGCTTGTCAATACAAACAACCGACTTGTATGATTCATTGAAGAATAATAAAGCATATAACTGCTATGCTTTCAAATATGTTAGAGCTTTCAAATATGTTAGAATGAGTAAGGTTAAGCTACTTGAGTTTTGGTATCATTCATGGTTGAGGCTCCGAAAAGAAATAAAGGAGCTTATTACCCTGATATTCCTTCATATTATTGGGCCCTTAATTGGCTTATGAACATAGTCGAAATGTGCTATGATAATATGCCTGCTTATATACTTTGTTTCTCTTCTAACTAGGGGTGGACGCAAGGCGAGTACTTGCTATTTTGCATGTACTCGCGACTTGACTTGCCTTGTACGAATAATAAAATTTTCGACTTGTACTTGACTTGTTTAAAACGAGTACTTACTATTCCGAGTACTTGATGAAAAATAAACGACTTGCAAGTTACTTGCCTTACTTTATTACTTACTATTTACAAGTACTTGTGCACTATTTACGAGCTTTTTAGGAATATTTAAGAACTCCTAACTAAATAATATTCTGTTAGAAATAGACATGAAAATTTGTTTTGTTTATTTTACTTAAAGTAACATGTAAATTACTTTAAATAGAATATTTGTTCATATTATAAAAAATATAAATTAAAAAATGTATATTATGGTATATAAACATTGTATAATGATCATGATAACAAGAATATCTTCTCTAGATAAGTAACAAGTAATAACAAATCATATTACTAAATTTTTAATATTTGTTGTTGTGTAATACTTAACTAGATAACGACGAGTATTCAAAGATCAAGATTGGATACAAAATAAGTAACAAATATAAGAAGAGTAGTGTGTATTTATGTCTAGTCCTAAATGCAAGTAAAAGAAAAGACAAATATGAAAAACTAATTAATAGATTATGTAACAAATAACAAGTAATGGAACAAGTAGCGGGGCGGAACGAGTCAAATACAAAATATAATAATGATACTTGATACTTGACTTAGTCTTGCAAGTAATGAAAATTGTCGCCTTGTAACTTGCCTTGACAACACCGAGTACTTGAATTTTTAAGGCGGGTACGAGTCAAATACCGAGTTTAAGGCGAGTAACGAGTAATGATGCCCAGCCCTACTTCTAACAAAGCAATATAAAAAGTAAACTAAAACCTTCTAATATGCATCTGCGAGCGCAAATCAATTGACATTGTGAGAGGGAAAATAATGGCATAATTAGAGAGTCTAGAGTAAAATAGAACATAATATTACCCAGCCACACATATCTTTATCATGTTTTAAGATTGGAAAGAGCCCGAAGCAATCACGGGGTTAGTGCATAATCTAAATCCAAATAAATGAAATAAAATATAGTATCAATAATTCTATAGAAAGGCACGCACGTAATAACTCAGTATTATTAACACGCACGCACACACCCCGTATCTTTGCTTTATCGAGTTTCATGCATTCATATCATACATTGATGTATTAAGTTTCAAAAAGCTCAACTATAATAGTAAGATAAATGAAAAAAAACATTAATTACTAATACCTCCACTAGATTGCCCCCCTATACTACTTTAGTCACCAAATCTAAATCTTCCTCTGTTTTGTAAGCGTTGAATTGTGCTTCAAGAAAACATGTTTTCTCTCGGTTTTAAGGAGAAATCGATCGATGAACCTTTTTTTTTTGGTTTCCTTTGGTTTTGGGCTGCAAACAAACCAATAAACCATCTTAACTTAAGTACGATTTTACGACAAAAAAAAAACTTAGTAGGGTTTACGTACTCTAACAGTGTAGAACATTTCGAAATTGACAAAAAATTCTAAATATAGTAAGGTTAAGGTTAACCTTCACTATTTAACTAAGTAATATAGAAAAAGTTCATCCTGGATGATTGACCTAGTTAAAGAAAATATGAGTTTTTGACAAAGAAGAAAATAGGATAGAAAAGTTGATTTTTGTTGTTTAAACCATAAAAAGGTTATCTATATAGATATTTACAACTTTGTTGTGGCCTAACAGTTTTATGGACCGTAGTTTTACTTTTAATTAATTAAACAAAAGTATACTTAATACGTATAAAAATTTATTATTTTTGGTTCTTTACCAGTGATAATTACTCATATACATTTCTTATCTTTTACTTTATCATTAATTATTTATTCATCTTAATGTTTAAACATAGAGGAATCACATATCAAAATTTAAACTAATTAGTTAGTTGTGTTTTCTTCTTTGGTTTATCATAATAATAATAGAACAAACTTCATTGCAAAGTAAAACTGGATGAATAAAATAAAAGATATATATATATATATATATATATATATCTAAAAATAAGGGTAGCCGTATTTTTCATTAAGCTAAATAGTAAAATGATAAAACACAATTTATTGGAATAAGAAAAAGACGACGGAGTAGCTTTTAAGTTTTAAGTCATTCATCACTCGTCAGACGAATTATTAAGACTACCTATAGTTTAACTACATTTCAACTAGAACTAGATTTTGACCTTTTTATGATATTTATATAATTGGGTTTTGTCTTATTTAAAGAATATTTTGATATAAAATCAGTTCACCAAAATTTGTGGTGATGATTGTTTTTCATTATTTTTTAGTTTCAATTTTTATTTTTAGATTTTGGTTTTTGGTTTTTGGTTTTTAGTTTTTAAGTTTCCACTTTTCATTTTCAGTTTTTGGTTTGGGTTTTTAATTTGTAAACCCGCTGAGTTAGTTTGAACT